ATTAGGAAATGAATGATACATAATGTTTTATTAATAGCACTCCAAATGCATTGCCCTTAATAATTTACTGCTAACACATGGATTGAATAACAGTGAAATGTTTCCTTGCTGTAGAAAATAAATAGAACATATGTCATTCTTACCAATGGAAATATGATGATACTTATGAATTGGGTTTATTAAGTAACACACCCATAGCTTGCTCTCAAGGGATGATAATTTGTTTACTAGATCTATAGCTTAATTGAAAGAAAAAAATAATAATGACAGTAGGATAATATAAAATATAAAGTGATAGTAATATAAAATATAAAGTGACAGTAGGATAATAATTTGTTTACTAGATCTATATATATTGATGAGTCCTAGTAGCACTTTTCTTTGTATCCAAAATGTAAAGTGATAATTGATGGAGAACAAAATGATGTTCTTTATCCATTTAGCAGTCCTGTAGAGTCACTTTAAAGTGATAGTATATATAATAATCGCTGTAGCACTGCATTTATTTTAGAAACTACTTGGTTTTAAATATGATAATTCAAGGCATAATTAATTATCTTACGAGCAGTATCGCAAGCAGGGTCATTGTGTAGCTTCAATGCTACTGTAGCAATGTTACCTGTTAAGAATTAAAGAATGTGATGATTCTTAGTAAAACAAAAAGTGATATGCCACCTATAGAAAAATATTAAGAAATGAATTGAGAATTTAGTATGTACTGTAGTGACTATTTATTAAATATTGAATATTTAATTATTGATGATAGATTAATGATTTTATATTTAATTAGTGATGTGTGTTTTGTTAATTGAGATTGAATTGTGTTGATACTTGTGTGCGTGCAAATGTGTGGTAATTCAAGTGTGATGAATTACTGAAGATATGCATGAATGTTAAGATTAGGGAATGATCTTAATTGCATATAATTGTTGTATTTGCATACGCATCATTTGTGTCAAGAGGCAATGTTTGTTAGTTTCGTGGGAGCTAGTGACTTGTCCCAAACCTAGGGCGGGGTTTGAAAGCTTAGGGAATGGGCTTTTTGTGTGTTATTGGTCTAGGGAACGGACCCGGTTTAAATGTAAAAACCGAAAAATAATAACAAGTGTTGGTACCACATGGCATGAGTTTTGCATTGAGTCTTGCATTGAGTTTTGCATTGAGTCTCATTATGTATATGTATGTGCTATGAGATTATGTGTGATATGTGGAACTGATAAATTGGTGAATTATGGAGTTGTGTGTATATACTTGTGATTAGTATGGTTACTTGAATAATATTGTGTTGATGAAACTTTTGAAGTGTGAGAATAATAGTGATTATTTTTGTATGCCTTAAATTATATATTATCTTATAATTTCAATAATTATGTGAATTCTCACCCTTCTGTTGGAATGATGTTTTATACGACATCGCTCAGGTACTGAGGAGTAGAGTTGCTTCTAGCACGGGGTAGCCGTTGGAGTCGCTTAGTTGTGCCTTTATTTATTTTAGGTCGAGTCATGTTCTGATTATGTAACGCTGGGGAATATTTCGATTTCATGTTTTGAGAGATACTCTATGTACTCTACTTCATTCTGTTATTGTTATTTTGAATTATATGAAGTATTGGCTTTTAAGCCTAAGTATTAAAAATGAGATGAGCATAAGACTTTTATTCTATCTATCATGATTAAAGCAAATCCGCTGCTACATGCTAATGTGAAAGTGTATGAAAAGCAGGAAGTTATTTTAATATTATTGAGCATGACAGGTGTTGTGTGATGTTTTGAAAATTTATGTGACCCCTTTTTGTGAAATGCATGATAATTACTCTGATCTATTTATAATTATTCCGCGGGGTTTAGAAGGTTGTTACAACGAGCTAACAGTGTCTCTTCATTTCTCTTCCTAGGCACCTTAGAATTCACACATTCATCTGCAAAGTGACCCCATTTTTGACAGTTATAGCATTGAATGTGTTCCTTGGATTTCTTCTTTCCTTTGCCATCACTCTCACCATTTGGCTTGTCTATCACCGACATAAGTGGTTGCAAGAACATCCCAAGCTTCTTTAGCCGTCTCATATTCAATTATCTTTTCCAAGACATTTGAATCTACACATTGATGGAAGAAGTATATCGCTTTGTCGTCTTTCTTCATTTGTTCACGGTGAGTTGCCCTCGTTGCCTCCATTGGTGTTGCGTCAAGCGGTGTCACTCCACTGCGAATAACATCTTGAACACCCTGATACCTAAAGACAACCTTCATTTGCACTATCCATCTTTCATAATTGCTGTCATCAAAGATTGGAAGTTTCACATGAATTTGATCATTGATTTTTGAAGTTTCTGCCATGTACGCTGTCGTGCGTGGCTGTGGATCGTCTTACTTTGATGCCAATTTGTTGGAATGAAAATTTACTATTCTATTGATTACTATTGTTGCTATCAGTTCTTGGAAATGAGAGGGAATGAAAGTAATAGAATTTTCAGGTAAACAATCATGCAGAGAGAGAATGAATGAATCACTGTTCCATTCTATTTTTTTAATTGACTTATTACAATGCATATTTATAACACTTAGATAAAATTAAACTAATGGTAACGCATGAATTTACCATTGCCTAATTACAACTAAATAAATTTTAACCGTCCACTAATAATAATTGTCAATAATACACCAGTTTTAATTATCTCACAATAATTCTCCTATTTTATATTTTAATTGTAACTAGTCAACAATTATAGTAACCTAAACCTTGTAAAGAAACCATTTACTCTGCTCTCTAATGAGAAGGTTCTCCTATTTTCTAACCTTAATTATTAGGAAAGGTAAAACCAATACTCTTGTTAACTGAGCCACAATACTATTGTTTACTTATCTCTCCTATTGGATATTTATTATTTTATTTTTGTCATTTTAAACACATTAAAATATTATAACTAATATTCAAACACTTTTAAATATTTAATTTTAAAAAATAATATTCACACCATAAAACTTGTGGTTGAGTCTAAAAATTATGGATCTAACTATTTATATTTTGTATTACCTTTGCACAAAATAAAACTTGTCAAAAATAATATTTATTCAAGAATTTGCAATATTTTATATATTAATTAATATCTTGTTTAACTTTGCCATTAAAAGAATATATCTTTTATTTTCAAAAACATAAAATTTAAGAGTGACTTCAGAGAGAGAGAATTGAAATTACACTATGAGTTGTCACTTCTTAAGTTTAATTTTTTTTTTAAATTGTTGTTTTAGATACGGACTTTTATAGATTTATAATCAGTTTAATTTGGTTTTGTAAAATTATTTAATAATTTTTGAATTAAACTTTGTTTGATAGTGTAGTTTTATAAAATTATTTATGAAAACTATTTTCTATTTAAGAGTTTTAAAAACTAAAATAAATTCTGGAAGTTTTTGGTTTTGGTTTTTAAATTTTAAAAATTAGGAAGAACAAAAAAAATAAGGTTATACAATTTTATTAACCATTAATGGTAAACTTGTAATATTGTTCTAATTTTAAAACAATTTTTAAAAGTTAAATTATCAAATATGTTTTATTTTATTTGTTTCTCCAAAATTCTTTAAAAAATTAATTTATAAAATAATTTTTGAAAGTTAAAAACTAAAACTCATTTGAACAGACCATTAATTTGTTATTTGTGATTGTGGCTAGTATTTTTGAACTATTGTTTTTACAGTCCCAGTGCTTCAGTTTTATTTTCTATTTATTCGGTACTTGATATTTCGATGTGATTTCACAAAACATAGAGAATATAGAAGGTTGATTATTGAAAAACAGAGTTGAAAATATTTTCAGTACTAACTTTTACCATACATTAAAAAGTTTCATATTGTTTGAAAATTGAAATTAATTAACTTTATATACACAATTCGATCTCTAAAATAATATCTAAGCCAAATTTCACTTTTTTATTTCTACAATAACATCTAAATTATATATGAACTAGATACAAAGTTTGGATAAACCAAAAATATCATCTCAAATCTAACGATACTACTACTACAAAAACATTTGAGAAGAAAGAACACGCAGTCCTAATCCAGGTGAGAAAGCTGTAAAGTTCTAACTAGTGCTTTCATGAAATAGAGTTGTATGCAGTATTCAGCTTCAAAAACGGATCTAAAGAAATTAAACAGTAGTTTATATTTATATTTCTAGAATATCAATGAAGAACAAATGATAATAAAACAGTAACTTGCAATGAATTTTCTAGCAGAACTTTTGTGACAGGTTCATAATGCACTTATTGGGTTTAGAAACATAATAAGGTGAAGAAGTTTCATTGATCTTATTACCATTTTCTTCCAACAAAACCATAGTATAGTTTGCACCGATTTACAAGAACTTAACTCTCTCATCAAACCAATTTGAAGCCCAAAAAATTCAGTGTATTCTAAGACTTTGATTATGAAATTTGGTTGAATCTAACTCATCCTTACAAAACCAACTCGTAGGGTGAGGATGTAAGTCATAAATTATTCCATACGAGACTCTTAGCACACTCGCTCATGCCTAGGACTCCTAAGACTGGACATCAACATCTGAAAATAAATAGCAGGTGGCCCTGATTGAGCCTAATTCATCGCTAAAAAACCGGCTTATAGAGTGAGGATTGCCCCCAATACGAGGCTTATAGAGTGAGGATTGCCCCCAATACGAGACTCGTACATAAAAAATAAATCCCTTTATACCATTCAAATTGAGTCAGGCAAAAACCAAAAATGAAAAGCCTGATATATAACAATATCCTACATTGCATCTTTCTTTCTACTTAACATAGACTTGTTGAAAATTCCCAAATTAGGAGATTCAATAGTAGTAACAAACACCTCATGTTCAAAATCTCAAAAAGAAGCTTTCTCCATACCATATGCTATTGCTGTATTGCATAAATATTCATCTAAAAATCTATAAACTAGAAGACTGAGTCTAATCAACAATAAAAAATGGGAAATTTCTGAGCAAGAAATTTACACTTTAATAAACCCTCTTTCTGACTTTCCTCTTATCCTTCCAGTGACCGGAATTCTCCGCAGCGCAATGCCTGGACGCGGTCCAGTACATACATGGTGCAGCAGAGTCACAAACATAACAGTAGCACTGTGTTTAGTTAAAGATTATCACAAAGTCAGCAATCATCATAATCACTTCAAAATTTTCAAAACAATTTCTCTTACCTTTTCACAATAGCTTTCACTAGGAGTAGTCTTGAACGGAAATTTCAGACATAGATGTCTTGAATGAGGATAATCTCTAAGAGCTATCTGAATAATCACGAATTTCATAGATTTCATGAATTACAAGATGGGTTTCCATCAAAATAAAAAACTAGAAAAATTTCAAGAACCTCATACCTTGCCCTTTTCAGCAAGAACGCAGATATCATCATCGGCGTCTTTGCCGTAAGATTTAGAGGAAACTTTTACATCTGCATCTTTGATGGGAGTAGTTTCGGTAGGATCGAATCCTAGGATGAAACAATCATCAGTTTCCTCGAAACGTTTAATGTCGTCGATTTTTTTGAGACAGGCGATGGCCCTGATCGGACTTTCGTCTTGCACTATCCTTGGCCTCTTCATGTTCGTTTCGGTTTCGCTTAAACCCTCGAGGGCACGATTTGAGGCAGTTCAAAAGTTATGATAAATAGTGGAGTTCATTAGGTTCAATTCAAAATAACACATTTTTATTTCCTTCTATTGAAATATGACCGTTTGATTTTTTGTCTTTTTTTTTCCGCCACAATTGCAATATTCAGTTATCCATGGTTCAGTAATCAATAAAATTAATTACATTTTAATTTTAATTTTTTAAAACTATCCATTTTCTACCAAGTTTGGCGATCAAACTTTCATCTATAAATGGAGAATAGAATAAGAAATTTAATGTTTTTTTTTTTTTTTTTAATTTTACTTGTATACGGTGTTTATGAATATTGACAATGTTTAGAGTTATCTTAAATAAAATGGTAGAAAATTTTGTACATATATGAATTTGTGTTGAATAAGTGATCTTTTCTTTTCGATCTTAGGACTAAGGTCTTTTGAGTTTGAATTTTTGGACACGAGAGAATTGTTGTTCCCCTATTATTTTGAAGAAAGTGGTTTCCTATTTCAATTGAGTTTTTCATACTGTTAATGCATAAGGACATGTCACTCACCACGTGGGTGAGGTACGGTCTGACCCAAGCCACAAGGGGCACGTGTTGCAGCTAGAAACCCAATCATATACTCGCTCGACGTCAATGTGTTTTACTTATCTTACTTTTCTTTGAAATTCCTTCTCTTAGGCACAAAGAAGTTATCTTAGTAAAAAGTCCCTTAAGCACGAGAGCTTGTAAAGGACAAAGTGATTTATTATGATTGCCTCCAATCTTCACGTTAAGGCTACCCCCGTAGAGGAGTTAAAGTCATCCATATGGTGAGTCCCTCAATCTCAGACGAGGTTTTAGGTTGATTCTCTTGGGAGAGATTTTAAGTTGAGTCCCTTATGTGAGATTTTAAGTTGAGTCCCCATGCGATACTTTTGTTGTGTTATTTGTTCTATTTCCTATTAAGGAGTCCACGTCATGGTGTATTTTATGATAAGAGGGCCAATTGTGATAGGGTTGACGAAGCCTGATAACTCTTTAGTATTGACCAAATATCTATATTTCCCCTTTAACAGCAAGGATTATGTAGAAAAGATCCAAAATTTATATTGCCTTTTGGGAGGCAAAGACTTTACAAAGAATATCCAACATTTATATTGCCTCTTAGACGTCAAGGACTTTTGAGAGAAGATCCAACATTTATATTATCTCTTGGGCGACAAGGATTTTTCAAAGAAGATCTAGCATTTAAATTTATTTAACAATGAGTCTCCTTTTGAAGGTTTCCTACTTTAAGGGAAAATGGTAACAAAACAAATTTAATAAAGTCCATACATCGGCGAACCAAATGCCTTTTGCCTTATTAAAATAAAAAACAATAAATGACTAATTATAATAGCATCTCAGGTTGACTGAGCTCTACGTTTTAGGGATGAGCCTTCCATCTATCTTATCAAGTTTGTAAGCTCCATGAGGTAACTTTTGGCATACGTGTTACGAACCTTCTTAAATGGGATGTATTTTTCTCTGGCGAGTTGGTATAACCACCTATTAGAGCACGAGGTTGCCCTCTTTCATTTCCCTTGGGACCACATTGAAGTTGTACCTTCTGGTTACCCTCTATTTAGAGGTGGATTCTCTTATATGGGCGGCATCTCAGGTTTCATCAATAAAGTCTGTAGTACATCTGAGTCTCGCCTCATTTTCCTCTTTAACAAATTGAGAGCGCCTCCATGTGGGTATGTCGATTTTGACAGAGAGCATGACATCGGTGTAATATACCAATGTGAACAAAGTTTCTTTTGAAGTTGAATGAGGGGTAGTGTAATACGACTATAATACTTCTTGTAGTTGTTTAGTCAAAATCCCCTTGGCTTCATCCAACATTTTCTTTATTCTAACCAGTATCACCTTGTTTGCTGACTCTTCCTGCCCATTTTCCTTAAGGTGGACAACCTAAATGTTTTTTTTTTGTATTCATAGGTCTTGACAGAAATCGACCATAATGGATCTGACAAATTATGTGCCATTATCTAAGATGATAACTCCTAGCAAACCAAATCTGCAGCCATGTGGTATTCATACAAATCCAACAAAAATGAAAACCTAATATGACATCCTATGGTGTCATTCATCTCATGTTGGGATTTTCATAGGTCAGCTCCCAAATAAGTCACAATCATGTCTAATGCGTTAAGTCTACTGGTTATAGAGTAATTTAATAATTTCCGCTGGATTAGAAGATGTATGAGGCATGATACATCATCAAGTGTGATGGACATATCATTAATCGAAAGATCAAATGATAGTGTCTTTGGGTGCCATCTCTCCACAAAAGTTGACAATAAGTCATGGTTAATATAACCATATATAGCCTACATAAATCCTGCAACTTAGATAGTTGCATGAAATCCTAAAACTATGGCTCATCGGGTCGTTCCAACTTTATGACCTTCATAACATCATAACATGGCTAATACATTTTAACGTATCATGATACTACAAAAAATACATTCATCGCCAGACAGTTCAAATATTATAACATAGATGTTTTAAAGAGTAAATGAAGATGTATACTACCTTTCCCTTTAACACATGCCCAACAACATAATCTAGGTACAAAGGAAGTATTGAAAGGTATAAGAGGGCTCTCGGGAAACCACCAGGCACATCAACATTCGGGGCATCTAGGGAAACAGGGGCTTCTAGGGACAACAGAAGACACATGAGTTTAGGAAAAGGATTTTGGAGACACGTGAACTCAAGAAGGCGACTTCTCACTAGCAAAAAAGTATCCCAACTATTGGTCATAAAGGTCTAGATTTCTCCATGTGAACTAAAGCATGTTGAGTCATTCTACCCTGTTTTAATCTTTCTTGGTTGTCGGACATTTTTCCTACAATCAAACAAGCACAACAATGAGATGTTATAACAGAACTAAAAAATAGGTCAAACCAAAAATCAGATAACAAGCTCTTCTGGATTTCAATCTCTGGACTAAGGGTTCGAATTTTGAAATTCGAACTTCACATAAACAGAAAAAGGAACTAGAGAATAGAGCAAGCACAAACCATAAGCTCTAGTGTTAAAAAAACTCAAAGCAAGGCAGTTAATGACAAACACAAATGACATACCTATTGTACGCACGAATCAACAAATAGATCATTCACAAACCCTAAGTATCATACCTATTATCTATTTAGGTAATTCATGCATGTAAAATCAAAAAAGAAAAAAGAATGAGCAACTTACCAATGCAATATAGTAGAACTTAAGATATGTCCAATTTTGTGGAGTAGAGAATTGATATGCTTCAATTTAATGGATAAAAGCTCTGAGAATGCTTGAAAAATAATGTGACAAGCTCTGTAAACGCAAATGAGGAAAAGCTCTATATTTCTCCATTTTTGCTCATTAACAAAAATGAAAACGGGAAGAAAGGGAAAGGTGAGAGTTTACTTAAAAATAAGCGTCTCAATTCCAATCTCTGTAATAAATCTGGACTTTAGAATACATAGTAGGTTAAAATCATGTGGTTATGAGGTTGGCTATAAGTGTGATTTGTTAGACGCGTCCAAAGTTCAATCTCCGTAATTTACTATATGGATTCCAAAGTCTGGAGTTTTTTAATGTCTAGCTTTAACATTATCCGGATATGGCTTATTGTGTATTAAGTGCGTCTGAATATTAGAATTTGAATTTGATAGTTAATTTTAGAATTTTGTCAGGATGTATGAGTAACTTATGAGGTGTATTGAACAATCTTGTTAAAATATTAGTTGTAGCTTTGTTATAGTCCTATTTTTATGGGTTAAGTTGGTTAGGCCCAATTGATTTTCTATTACTAGAATGGATGATTTATCCTGACACCCCCCTTCCCCATTTGACTTGGCACCCCAACAACACCATTGCTTTTACTATTTTTCCCTTCACTAATAATTTCTGGTTTTTTAAAAAGTGCAGTTTAGTACCAGATTTTTTGTGATTGTATGTAGAAATACCGGACATTGCAAAAAAATACTGGATTTTTCGTGTTTATATGAAAAAATACCATAAATTAAAAAAAATTCTAGTAAATAAACATTGGTTTTTGGTAATTCTATGAAGAAATACATATTTTTTATTTGAATTATGCATGCTAAAATACAGATTCAAAACTCGTTCCTAAAATATATGTAATTGAAGAGGAGACTAAAATATAAACTAAATTCAAAGCAAAGTTTAAAAGACAAACAACAAAACCACATGAGTTTCTCCCCCTCAATGTATCAGAGATATGCAAGTTCATGTCGCATTATCTTCTTCAGTGACCTCATGCTCTTAATGTGTAGTTTCTTCCAAAACACATGAATCAATTCTAACAAACCAGATTCACCTTGTATTTGAAGATCGACAAGTTGACACGCACAAGGTAAGCCGTGTGTTTTTCTAATGAAGCAACCATGTGCATCTTTGTCAGAACCAACAAATTTTACCCTTCCTAGATCCTTTCCAACGTGCTTTATACACTGTCTTGAAACGAAGTCGTATAGTCTGGAGTAAAATGAAGTGTTATACTAATGCTAAATGTTGGAAATATTTTTTTGGAATGATACTCTAATTGAACCTAGTTGCAATTTCAACATAGTGTTCACAATATCCCAACTTCTGCATAAATCTCCTCGACTAATGGTCAACATATTTATTAGTCTCCAATGAGCAGACTCAACCCTAAATAGATGTTATAATTTGATAATTAGTAATGTAATGTATTCAAAGATGCATCAATGTACATGTTCATGTTGTGTTCCCTAAATGAGTGACTTTATTAGTACATGCAACAACAAACCTTTCTTTATAAGGTGTCAACCATGTTTTGTGCACATACCGAAGAAATAAAGGAATATATGCATATACTATCTCCAAATGCTTCAAGTGCTCCACAAACTCAGACTCCCTATTTGAATACATGATGTTGTTCCATTAATCCTTGACATGCTCTTGTTTATTAGA